GAATTGGTTAAAAATAATATAGCAAAGGACAATGTTTGACATTGACTTTTGTTTATAGTCATAGCAAAACATAAGACTATTATATTGAGAATTCTATCAGATGATACCAAATTTTATTCAGGGTATGTAAACCTTTTTCTCCAACGCGATTTCTCGAAACATCAATTACATTGATAATGTTCTTTCACATCTCTTTAATGATTAATCTTTTACCATTACACAATCCATATATTTGGTCAATGTTCTTCAATAACAAAATCGGTACCCCCTTTTAAAAACTATTTTATGGTTTGAATCCCCTAACATTTGATTTCATTAAGAAGAATTAAACTGTTATCTAATCGTCTTCAACAACTACATCTAAATATGTTTGGCATGAAGAATGAGAACTTAAGTACTCTTTTTTACCTCTTAGAATAAGGGATATGACAAATTCATTTGTCATTTAACAAATTTGATTGTGGGTGCTAATAATGCACTATCCTCAAAAAAAGAATAATTTTTCATGTTCTCTAATAGGTTTGGATAAGTAAAGTCCACTATACTCTTGAGGGGGTAACTTGTGTCAAGCATCAAGAATTCAAGCGGGATTTCAACGTCAGCAGTTTCATCGATCACTTGTCCAAGTTTTCCATCTTTGACTTTGCTTATCAATACAAAAAAAATTATGTGTCCCTATTAGTTCAAGAGCGTGTAGATAAATGCAATCTTATATTCTTAGCTAACCTATAAACTTTACATTACAATCACATTTGTGAGAATTGGTGGTAGCACCCACAATTTCCTCTCTCTACGCTATGAGTAGATCTGAAAGAATTTGGATAAAATCACCTCCGAGTATAGCTGTTTTCCATCCGAATGGGTCATTTATGAAGTTATTATTAAAAAATCTCATTACATCTCTCATTTTTTCGAAAAAAATTAGTGGGTGACTCATGGTACTTATCACTAATAATGTGACGAACAACTTTTTTAGCAGATTCCCACATCTTGACTTAACAACCTCTTTCATACCTTCAATAAATTCCTTATCATCGGTTAATAACCTCAATGCTTCACATTCTTCCTTGAATGCATTATGTAAAACATTGTTAACTGTCCTCAAGCGCTTATAATTTGTACATCCTTGTTGGACATTTAATACTTCTCAAGTAGTATAACTCTC